TTGTCAGGGTTCTGGAAAAGAACGTGACGTGTAAATCTCGCCGAGTGTGAAAAAAAAAGGCATTTCCCAACCCCCCCTTTTGGGGGGCCAAACCAGGGGGTTGGAAATGTGATAAACCCGGGAATAAAAACTCATCCGACCTCTGGTTGGGGTTCCGTCTCCCAGCCTGTCTCGCAACGCTGCACTCCCACTGCCACCATCGTTGCACCTGAAGCAAACGAGAAGATAGGGCCCGAGACGGTAAGAGTTTTGGGATTTTGTCAGGTGTTCTAGAAGCATAAGGGTCCACTAGGTCGGAGCTTTTAGCTGGCTTTGACTCCGCAAAGCCAGCTAAAGGCTCCGGAATGGACGGTGGTGACGGCGGTGGAGTCATATATCTAGAAGGGTACTCGAAAGGGCTTTCATTGGGAGGGCCGCAGTTGGCTCACGAAACACAGCATCGCTTGCTTCAGAATAAGGCGCCAGCGTCTCCCAACAACGTTACCCCAATCCTGGCTGACAGGTTGTTAGGTTGCTTCAGAAGAAGGCGCCAGCAGTCGCGCAAGACTTCTCGACGTCTGCAGTACAAGTGGGATTCAGCAGTAGAAGAACCTAGGGCATTGATCCGAACCTCGCCTTTATGTCCCAAACGTTATACAAGACCTGCCAAGCCAGATAACCGATCACCGGAGCCCCGCAGCAGAACAATGCCTCAATGCTCCGCGTCATAGCACCGACGACGGCCGCCCTGGCCGCAAAGCGCACAAGCAGCATTCGGTCAGTTGCCATGAACGTGGCACAGGAGACGGCAAAGCCGGCAAAGCTTGCCAAGGCTACAGCTTGCACCGACGAAGAACACGAGACAGAATCGGACCTTTAAACCGAACCGTAAGAAACCTGCCTGCACTGCACACTCAATCCTTCAGAACCGCAACCCGTGACCAGCCAAACCCAAGGCCCCGAAAAGTCGAACAAGGATGCGGCCAGCACGTACATGAGTACATGTCTGAGCAAAGCGCCGCGAGGATGCGAAGGCACCTGGCAGCAGCAAACTCGGGAGTTCAGCGCGCAGGTGCATAGGCCCCAAGCAGCCCAAGCAATCAACAACGTCAGACGGGATCTCAATTCTAATCTTTCAGATCATGCTGACAGAGCTGAAGCACGCAAGCACCTCGACACGACAAACCTATACGGGGCCCCTACCAGCCGGACCCGTCTGACCAAAGCGCTGCGAGGATGTTGAAGAGCACGAAGGCACCTGGCAGCAGCAAACTCGGGGGGTGCATAGGTCCCAAGCAGGCCAAGCAAGTCGACCGGTCAACAACATGAAACGAGATCTCAGTTCTAAACATTCTAATCTTTCAAATCATGTTGAGCTGAAGCACCTCGACACGACAAACCCCTACCGACTCACATCAGCAGATTCATCAACATCGCTGAAAACAAACCCAGCAACCGAAAAAGTCTCCGGCTGCAGCGTGCCTAATCCTAATCTGTAGCCCGGCAGCAAAGAAGGCCGGCCTCAATGATGTGTTCAGCAAAGAACACATGCATCGACAAAAGTCTGCTCAGCTTATCCTACGCACGCGCACGGCTTTTGTGCTTCCTGACTACCACTAATCAAAGTTGGCCAACACGCCAGCGCGCGCACACACATGTACTCTCACATTCACACACACCGTCACAGAGTCACAAACACAGTGCACGGCCTGTTTTCGACGCACAGGCCCAGGCCTGGCAGAAGTAGGAGTCGTTTCCAATCACGCGGGGCCTGATTGGAAAGCCAAGGGGGTTGAGCTGCAGGGTTCGAGACTTTGACAGGTCCAGAACCTAAGCTTTGAGAATATAGGAGTTCTATGGTTAGGGCTAACAGTTAGGGGTGTAGAGTGGGTACTGACTGACTGTTCAAGGTCCGGCTTGCATAGGAATGAGAGGTGCTGATTCTGGAAATCTAAGATTACCAGGCCCGAACACGACCCATAAACCCAAGCCCGCCAGAGACAAGGCCCCGACTCAAGCGACGATGCTTGGTTTCGAGAAATCTCCATCACGTTAGCGGGCGAGAAAGTCCATGCCAAACCTGGCAGAGAAAGGAACGGTGTGTGGAGGTTACAATTGAGGAGCTGCTGCTAAAGGAGAACTTTGTACTTCGCAGAATCTTGCGGCTCCTTGCCCACACATGCAACGACGCAAACACTGAACATCACCACCAGACCGACTGGTAAGAAAGGAAGCTCAAAAACTGTGTTGCTTGATATCCACTCAGCAAAGTTAGCAGGTAGCAGTAGTCGTAGTTGTAGTCGTCAGTGATAGGGTGCGTTTGGCAAAACTAGACACTAAACACTAAACTAAACCCCACAAACACTGCATCATGGTCGGCCAGCCTGGACGGCAATGGCTGGCAGGCTGGCATCAGCGCCATCACCGCTGTTCAACCATACGGCTTTGAGCCTGGAAGACCCCGAGAGGAGACTCAATCAGACTCGGAGGACTCGGAGGAAGATGACGAACTACTCGAAGAGGAAGAGTTTCCATCTGAAGTATCTGAAGTTGCATCGCTGGACGGCGGGTCAGATGCTGCTTCATCACCAGGAGAATCCCTCGCTCCCACATCAGCGGCTGCAGCTGGCCCAGCCACGGCTGCTTTCGATTTGGCTTTCCCTTTGGGGCGCCGCTTGGGCTTTGCTTTGGCTTTTGATCTCGACTTTGTAGCTGCTTTGGGGGCAGGAGGAGGAACATCTTGAGCATCCAGCACATCGTCTGCTTCATACTCTCGCAGCGGCAAAGCCACAGCTTGGGCTTCCAACACATCAGGCCCTGGTGTCTCAGAACTTGTGGGCTGCCACGCTTGGTGCTTCCATGCCCTATCGAAGCGCCCTGCCTGCAGAAGCCAGTGCTTGACCATGTTCAAGCATCGTTCGCGATTCTCATCCGTGCTGTTGCTCATGCTTATAGATTTCGTGCACTTGGTCACCGCACTTCGCTGGTGGAAAGGACACCGGCCTTGCCAAGCACCATACGTGCAGCCAGGAGCCGGCGCGCGATATGTGATTCGAAATCCAGCAGTTCCCCAGCTCGCTATCGATTCAGGCCGCACCACGCGCTGCCCAGCGGCTCTTGGGAGAACCGGTTCGTGTGACAAATCCGCATCACCCAGACCTTCTGCTAACTCTACCTCAACACCAGGCGGCGCAGGACCAAAACCAGGAGGCGTGCCAATTCCACCTGCATGATCATCATCATCGGAAGCTGCTTCGCGGACGTCGTTGTCCTGTCTCTCTTCTTCACTGATGGACATCCAATATCCCGCTTCTTCATCAGTTGAGCTGACACTCGCATCGGAATCGGAATGCTCAGCGTCTTGGTCGGACTCGGGGCGGTGTGACGTTGGCCTTGCAGCCAGGACTGGGGCAGCAGAGGCTGGCTCGGCTGGCTCATCGCGGTTGTCCACGACCGCCGGTGCCGCTGGTGCTTCCGCAGACGAAGCATCTCTCTTGCGTTTTCTTTGCGGCGCCGCAGGAGCAGGGGCCTCTCCTATCCCATCAAACAACAAACCGTCGTCGGCATTCAAAGGAATGTCCCTGTCAGCATCCAATATTTCAAGTGGTTGTTGCTGTCGCTGCTCCTTGCGACCTCGTGCATCTTCCAAGGCCTGACGAGCGGCGTCCTTGCGAGAAGTTTGATGATTTGCAAGCGAACAACTCAGCCCGAGTCCCATTTCTTTGAAAGCCCGAACCCCAGGAATCCCTCGCATTTAACATAACAACTAAAATCGAAGCCCAGGCACGAAGTCCCTATCCAATAGACACCTGTAGTACTTCACAGGCTGCAGGTGCTCAACAACAAAGTCAGGATTTGTATCAAAGAACTCGTCCGACTGAGCCAAGCAAAGAAGATACTCGCGAAGAACGGTCACTCCCGAAGAGTACCAGACACGAAGAGCGTCTTGCTGGTACGAAGGCAGTGTTTTCTTGCTGTCCCCACGTTGCCAGACCCACCCCAATGATTCGAGTTTCAGGCACAACTCAAAAGTTGTGCAGTCGGATAATGGTTTCAATTCGTCTACACTTGCCAAAGCATTTGGCTCCATCACTCTTTGGCCAATGCTCATGCGCTGCAAAGCAATTGTCTTCAGCTGCCAGCCTTGTTCATGCTCGGATACATAGCCTGCGTCACACAACTCCCGCAAAGTATTCAGGGAAGTCCCTTCGATATCTTGACCCTGCAGGTACTGAGCGGGTTGCCGACCCTCGAAGGCATTGGCACGCATGAGAAGCTCCAACGCTACCCCACAATCAGCAGACATGTCGGGGATACTTAACACGTGCTCAGATGAGCGGCGCCACTTCAACATCTGAGACATGTCCGCCATGCTGACCCCAAAGCTCGAGAACACTCGCACCAGGTCCCCAGAATCAGAGCACTTGCTGGGCTGGGTCTCAAGAACGTAATTCTTGGAAGCAGGGTCGCTGATGGCTGCGTGGATTGTGATAGCCAAATCTCCTTTATGCAACTTCCTTTTACCAGCGGCTGACGCCTTAACAGTCTTCAATCTTGAAGCAGTAGAAGACAACAGCTTGAAGAAAACATGCTTCGGAACGATGTCGGCCCCTGGCCTGGCTGAAGCCCTCACGGTCTCCAAATCATCGGGACACAAATTTGAAGCTAACGCAAGATCAGCACATTCAGATTCGCCAGGGTCACCGCGCGCATGGCCCGCAGGTCTTCGTGCATCTGCCAGACGCAGAACTTGCGAGCCCTGCAGCATGGTACTGGGCAGAGAGAAAACTTCACCAAGTGTCAGTTCGCTCTGCAAGTGGTCTAGAAACGCGCGATTGCGGACAGCCTCGTAACAAACACGTTGCTTCGGCCGAAGTTCCTGCAACAGCTGTTGTTCCGCGTCCTTCTTCTCTTTCTTGAATTCGCCTAAATTTATCACTTGCCAAAGAGATGATAAACATATTGCCTTTTGGACTTGACCCGACCCATAACTAAAAAAGAAAAGGTCCTGCCGCTTTTGGTTAGGCGCGATTCTTTCGTTGCGGCACGGAGAGGTCCAAATACAACATGGTGGTGTCATTCCCGTACATGATGGCGTTGGCCATTTTATCCAAACCCCGCTGCTGTGTCTTGGGCTTGGACACCATCTCGAGCCATTGCGGGTGCTTTGAGAACCGGAAGAGCTTCGCAAGTCGTCGCACTTTGCGGGTTTTTTCAAAAGCAGCCAGCAATTGTTGCTTCTTCTGTTCATCCTGCATGCACTTATCGATTTCGTGCAAGCGTTCTGCGCATGAGATATAAGCACCAGTAACCTTCCGGTGTCCACCATGGCGGTGAACCAGGCTGTGCTCAGCTTCCACGACACGTTCAACCACAGGTATGAACCTCAAACAAGCAATTTCGTACTGAAGCTGCGGTAGTTCACTCAGCGAAACAGTAGCTTCATCAGCCAAACGCCGCAGTTGCTGTTCAAGGACACTGCCTGGTGACAGGAACCGCCAAGTAATTCGATGATGGTAATGCTGTTCTTGCGGAAGCTTTCGGAAAGCTTCCAGAATGGTTGAGGCTGCTTGTCGCCTCTGATCTGCACATGGCACAGCCAGGGAACACAGCTTCCAAGGAAAATCGTCCCACTGTCCCAGTTTCAGCTCAACTGTCATGTCGATATGGCTTACACCGTGCTCAAAATCCTGCATCAATCTATCCTTGTCTGCAGCATCAAGTGGAGCTGCCTGCATGATGACCTCGGGGCGCACCTTATCGCAAAAATTGCGAAGTCGTTCCTTGAGCACTCCCGTTGCCAACTCGTGCGCACGCTTGCCAGCAAGTGGGCACACACATTTCGGCCCATCGGAATCAGTCGGCAAATCCAACTCGGACAACAAAGCAACGACCGCCTTGGCATGCTCGCTTCTTCCGGAACCATCCGAGTTGTCATCCTCAGAGGACAAAAGCCACTCCTTGCAAGTGAATAGTACCCACACAGCACAAGTACAAGTTGTCTACTGGGCTTCCGAACATAGCAAACAAAAGTTACTGCACTCTGCCGCACGAAGGGTCATGGCAGCCGCACCCTGACCCCCAAGCTGATATAAAATTGGCTACTTTGTGGAGTTGAAGAAGCATGTGGGCGTACGGCAGCCAAAATGGACTCTTCAATGTCTCCGTCACAACGTCTGCGTCCAACTCGTCTTCAGCCTGCCGATCTTCTGCTCCGGGTCCTTCCTCTTGGGCCTGGGCCTGCCCAACAGCCCTTCCAAGATATTTCGACGCATCCCACACGATTCGTAACGGCCTGAACAGGGCGAGTATAGGCGGCAATGCCTTCACGATTGTTCCCCACCTCCATTTCGCAATGCTTGGCACGGCTGTCTCGAAACATCGCGCCAATGCTGCATACGGGCCCCCAGAGACGCATCTCGCAACCAGGCGTTTCAACAAATACCTGTGAGACAGCAGGTGGGCAAGGGCCTTGAATCCTCGCAGCCATGTGTTCCAATTTTGCAAACGCGCATCCATGTCACTCTGCAAGTTGTTTGAAATGTGATCAAGACCAGAGCACAAAAAAGCATTCGTGAATGCATGTGTCGGCATGTCGTGCAAAACTCCAGGATCCAGCCCAGCATCAGGGAGCAAACGATCCACTTGCACCCACGTGGGCAAGTATTCGCAAATGCTGCCCGCAGCCTCTGAGATGCAAGCCTCTGTCCCCATATCTACTGTCAAAGAATACACACGACCTGCGATCTGTTCCAAACTGGTCAAACTATGTGCTTCGTGTGCAAATTTCAGAGCCAAAGCCTTAGTTTTGTGTTCCAATGTCGCTGCTGAAGAACCCAAGGCCATCGGCATCTGGCGATGCCTGCGCAGCTGCTGGGCTAAGAGTTTGCTAGCGGCAACACGCTCCCTCACAAGACTTTGCAGGGTTTCCATCGACTCCAGCGATGCTCCATCTTCGGCGTCAAAGAGCAGCTTGAATCTGTTCACTGACGTCGACAACTGGTTCGCAGCCTCCCAAGCTCCTACAACTTGGTCTGCAAAAATGAAATCATAAATCGAAAGCAGCCAATCGGCTCCGAGCTGGGGCGATGAGTCAGCCCAACAAAAGATTGGCCCAAGACCAGACTCTAGAGCATCACGCTGAACAACTGCAAAGGCTGCGTCCAACCTTACCTGGCAAGCCGCACATGCTTTGAACTGGATTTGGGCGATCAAAAACCAACGGACCGCTGGTTTCTAGGACACAGCCCTACTCAGCAAGGGCTTAGGGCGTTTAAGGTTGAGGGGAGCGCGGTGAAACAAAGACCCTAAACCCAAAAACTAAACACCCTGCACCAAGAGATACACCCAAGCCGGCCAGACTAAGCGGCTTGAGACCGGGAGATCGTGGATCCAGAAGGGGCTGCTGTTGCTAGCTTTGACACCATGCCTTGCAGAGGTACAGGGACAAACGCCTCAATCATCGATGAAAACACCTCATTCATTTTGCTTCGGTTCCTGACATACCGGGCAAAGCGGATGGCATTCGTAAGGAGCAAGACTGGCTTGGCAATATTGGTGGCAGAGGACCTTTGTCGGTTTGCATGACTCGACAGAATCAGAAGCTCTAAACCCTCTGCAGCGTTCTCCAGCTGTAGGCGTACACCATCTTCTTCAAACTCAGTGCATTCGCTGAGGAGCGTGCCTGCTTGAGAACGCAACATATGTAGCAAAAACATCGCATCACTGGCTTCCAGACAGTGCGTCGGCTGTCTAACAGATTCAGTTTTCAGCTGCCTCAACCTCTGCAAATCCGTTTGCGATGGGAAATTCAACGCAGCTTGCATCCATGCCAAGATTTTGTCTAAACTCTTCTGCAGATGATGATTGCGCACATTCAGCAGCAATGTGGACCATTTTTGCACCAGCATCAGTTGCAACACCACTTCTGGTACCCACATGACAGGCACATCCTCTAACTTGTCCACAAGAGAACCCAAACCATGTTGGCGACAGCATTCTTCCACTGTCGTTCGCGCACCACTTGATTTGAAAATAAGAGCCGTGCCACGGTGCACTACAGCTGTGTTGGTCTGGAAAACCATATGCTTGACAGCAACATTTCCAGAACACCCGCGGGCTGATGCGACTGTTGACGGTTCCTCGAGCGCACATACCGAAGCAGCTTTGATACTGAAGCTGGAACAAGGACACTTGAAATACTGCCACAAGAGCTCCGCTTCTTGATCCCAGGGTGTCAGACGTCCCTGGTAGCAATTGCCAGGAGCTAAAACTACAAATGCTTTAACCTCTGCAGACACGACATCGAGAGCACTCCGGGCGTCCGCTCCCGAAACCTTGCGAAGCTCTCGCTCCAATCCAATGGATCGAACCTTGTCTACAAACCAATCAGGTTCAGGCAGCCACTGCGGGTCTCGAGTCTTTGAGCTCCCGGTCCTCAAGCGACGATGTCCGTTGGCATAACCGCACAGCAAAAACATGCCCACATGGCTCTAAGTAACAAAAGGCGACGCAGCATCAACGCATGTCAAACTCTACACACCCGTTAGCTTCCGTAACGTTTTTAGGACAGGTTAGGAAGTCGGAAGTCTGAAGTTGAGCATCAGAAAACAATCATAACCGTCTGTCTTCTGCGCGAGCCTCCTGTTGTTGCGGAACGTCCGTTTCAGAGACTCAACTGCGCAATCTGCTCAACCATTCGGAAACAGTTTGTTGTTAACGATTGGAACATGCCAAAACCGGCATCATGGCTTGCGAGGCGAGGTAAACTCGATTCGACGATTCCCTGAAGTTCCCTGTTTCTTTGCAAATGAACCGAGCCTGACCGAGCAGACTAAGCTTGGGCAGCTTGGGTGTTTGGCACAAAATCTTTCAATATTGCAAGCGTTGCGTTAGGGCTGAGGGAGTTTAGGGTGAGTTTAGGGTTTCTTTTGGTCACACGCAAAAAAAGTGAGCCCCAAATGGGGCTTGAGCCGATTACATCAGAGGCAACTGTGAAGATCTGATTGCGTTGGACACAGACAGGCATCGCAGAGCACGCGCAGCTGCGATTGTTGTTGACGCTAGTCAGCACCCACTGAAACGCTTTAACCCGGAGGCAAGTAGAAAACTAGCAGACGCCGCTGTGGAAGAAGGTCACG